GCCACGTCTCCACTTGCCGTGCCGGAGATCAATCTTCTGGTGTTTGATTTAGCAGGTCTAGTAAAGACCCACTAAATCGAATACTGAAGGTGCCCCTGGTCGGTGCCAGTACTCTTCGTAGTCACAAGGAGCAAGGGAAGCCAATGAGAGTGTTTCCCACTGTGAAGACAGTGCCAAGCCCGGTTTAGGGTATGTTGATTCCATCTGTGTTGTTTACTTGAGCTGACCTTCCAGGTCTAGGATACAGTCCCTTTTTGAGAAGGCACCTCTGTGTATCTCTTTGGGGTCTTTCTAGCACTAATCGTTCACCCAAGGTCCCGATCGAAGCAAGAAAAAGGCTGCCATCCTAATCTGTTATGGGCTAGTGTCTGACTTTTGTGAGTCTTCTGCTGAAAAATGGCCACCTCATATTTGGTACTATGTTCTAATCTCTCCCATGAGAGCATCCATGCAAAGCTGCTTGAGAAAAGAGAGGAGACCCTGGATTCTGTCTTGGTTTGTATAGACGAGAACACGTGCATGCAATGAAATCTAGGGTTCCTTGCCCGGAGATTTTTTTCATTTCTGTACCTAGGTATAAATAAAAACCTCTCTGGGACACCCATAGACCCAAGGTCAGTCCGCTTCCCGGCAGAGGAAGCAAAAGATAATTGGTGTACGGCTTTCTGCTCAAAGCAGAACATTTAGGCACTGTGCAGGCAGTTTGTTGCTAGTGCAAGGGAGACCATTCTAATTAACTGGATTGTAATCCTTCCTTGGAGATTACCCTGCCAATTAGGAGTTTGCAGAACCTGCTATTTCCCAAATCCAGAGGAGCTACCTTGCCCGGACATTAGTACGCTGTGTACATAGGCACTGTTGACTCTCTCTGGGGCTTTTACCATTCAGTCCCCTCAATGGGAGAAGGGGTGACAGACAGAAATTCGTTGCATAAAAATTGCCATACCAGCAAAGATCACTGATTCATCTATTCGGCCAACGTGCCTGTCGCAGGGGTCCGTATCAGATGCTTCAGGGTAAGGCAAAGCCCTGGAAATGTATCCTTGGAGGAAATTTCTTCTAGACCCCTGGTGGTAATCAGTTTAGGAGGACTGAGACCCCTGGGACACACGTTCTAGCTAGTGTAACGGCAGAATGTCGTTCTTCTCCATGGTCATCGCTTTTTTTCTTGTCTCGCTGAGCTGTTTTAACGGGGGGGAGGGATAGTCAGTGGTTTGAGCATTGGCCTGCTAAACCCAGCATTGTGAGTTCAATCCTTGCGGAGGCCATTTGGAGCAAAAATTAATCAGGAATGGTACTTGGTCCTGCTGTGAAGGCAGGGGACTGGACTCAATGACCTTTCAAGGTCCCTTCCAGTTCTAGGAGATAGGCAATCACCATTAATAACTCAATATCTTCCAGCTGCAAATTCCACAGTTTTGCCGTTCCTTGTGTAAAACCATTTCCTCTTAATCGCATGCAGTGTTTCGATTTGCGGGGAGGAGGAGAAATCATGGGAATCCCTGGATTCCATAGTCCTTTGAAAGCAGAGCTGTTCTGGGTTCTCCAACGCCCATGCCAGATCAGTCTACTCAGGACACATAGGGGAAGGAATCATGTGGGGTTCCTCTGTGTTTATGTGAAGAATAATTTCCAGGCCCTGTGTTTTCTCACAGGAGCAGGGATGGTGGTGGACTGGGAACAAGAGACTGGGCTTCTCATGACATCGGGAGACGTGCGGATTATCCGGGTCTGGGACACCGATCGAGAAATGAAAGTTCAGGTAACCGCTGCTTGTCTGCCCCTGTAACCCTTTCACTGCTGTGGGAGCTTACAAGTCTCGTCCCTGGAATTAGCCGAGCCCTCCTGTCCATAGGACAGACTAGGGCAGCCACCAGGAGACCTGGCCCGTGCTCGGGAGACATGGGTTCGGAGACAGCCTATGAGGTTGGCGGGGGCCTGGTACTAGCAGCAAGCGACCTGGCCCCAGCCTGCCCCACCAGCTCCCAGCATCACTTGTGAGAGGAGGTCAAAATCGGAAAGTGACATGGGAGCAGGAGCTAGGAGTAGGGGTGGAAAGGGGTGGGGGTTTAGGGGAAGGGGTGGAGTGGAGTGGAAACAGTGCTGGGGGGGCGGGTTGTTCCTGTCCATGCACCCGCCATGGGACAGCCCTGGGAATTCGGCATGTTAAAGGCTAGTTGGCTAACCGTTTAATTGATACACGATTACTTATCAGTCAACAGTCCCAATTAACCTCAGCAAACCCCCACCCCCACCCTCCATGTGCTCTGCATTTAAAACTCAGACCGGCCAGTTGGCTCAGTCCCAGCCCGCCAGTCTGAGTTTTCAATGAAGAGCGCACAGGGGAGCCGCCTGCCACCCCGCACTGCTGCCACTCAGAAGCCGGAGCAGCCTCTGTCCGCGGGGAGCTCGGGCCCCCTGTGGACAGGGGCTGCTGCCTCTGATACAGAGGCAGCAACGTGGGATGGCAGGAGGCTCCCGGGAGTGAAGCCAGGAGTTCAGTGACCGCCAGCCCCGCCCCCAGGGGGCATTGAGTAACCCTTCGCAGTTACACAATTATTAAAATAACCACTTTCTAGCGTCCCTACTGGGAATCAGGCCCCGGGAGTGTATTCCCAGATCACACGCCGTAGAGCGACTTAACAAGGGTCTCTGGAGAGCAGACTTGTCGCATGATGCCGGTCTCCTTTTCAGCTGCAAAATCCCATTGCGAGACAGCTAAAAATAGGCTAATACTGTCCTTAGATGGCAGTGATTGTCCCATCAGGAAATTGCTGCTGCTGTGCTGAATGTTACGCAATTGCCTGTGGGAGAGGAAGGGGCTGACAATCACAAATGGGCAGTCGGGTGGCTGACACCGTCGCCCTGTAAAAGTCCACTCCTAAAACACCTTGGGAGGGCACCGGGTAATGATGGAGAGAGTCAGGCACCCCTCAGACACTGCAGCATCCGCACCTAAAGTCCTACGGGGCTGATCCGTCAAACACTGTCACTTTCCTTCCCACCTACCCCCCTGCCAAGTCCAAGTCAGGGAAGCATCCCTATTCCGCATGGCACTTACACATGCCCTGAAGCATGTCCATAGATTCCCAGGCCAGGAGGAACCGCTTTGATCTTCTAGTCTGAACTCCTGTGAAACACGGGCCACAGACCGTCCTCAAAATCCTTCCTAAAGCTGATTTTCAGAAAAATATCCAGGCTTGATTTTAAAATGGTCAGTGAGACTCTACTGTGAATCCCAGGGAATTGCTCCAATGGTTAGTGACTTTCACCACAGTTTTCCGTCGGCATGTTTCTAGTTTCAGCTTCCAGCCACTAGACCTTGTTATAAGAGCCCGTTACTAATATTTGTTTCCCCTGCAGGTAGTAATAGCCTGTAACCAAATCACCCCTTAATCTTCTCCTTGAGCCAAATCGACGAAGCTGTTTGAGTTTGTCGTTTGAAGGCATGTTTTCTAACCCTTTGATCATTCTCCCGGCTGCTCTCTGAACCCTCTCCGGCTTGCCAGGGCTTTGCTGAGTCAGGGCTTGGTGGCTTAGGGTGACATGTATGTGAGACGTTCTTTGGTTTCACACCAGGCAAGTAAACTCAGGGTGTTACTGACTTGCCCCCGTGTGACTGAGATCAGCATCTAGGGCCCAGTACCATGTGGCCACAGACTCTAAAGCATAGAACGTGCCCTTGGGTTCTGCAAATGGCTGCGCAGCCCCACCCATCTCTGGGCCCTGTGGTGCTCAGCGAGGGGTAGGTGCACTGCCGGAGGTATGCAGAGCTCTTCTGGGGGTACTAGTTTTCCAACAGGCGTTAGCGCCCTACAGCAGGACTGGGATCCCGCAGGCCCTGTCAGAGCTGTGGCTGCAACTGCAAGAGGGGGATCAAAATTCAGCAAACTATGCGGGAGTGCGTGGGAGTGGAGTATCGCTGGGCAGAATGGGAGCAGGATTCAGAAAGCCGTCCTCACGCACCACCACCAACGGGAACTGCTCGCTGGCGGCCCGGGTGCGAAGGCAGCACCGCTGCCAGCAGGAGGGCGGCATGGCATAGTACTTCTACGCTGCTGGGGGTGCCACCTTCAAAGCAGGGCAGCTGGAGAGTTTGGTGAGGTGAAACGCGACACGAATCGAGTCCTGACGTGGATGCCGTAGTCTGGAACGGTTTCCTTTCCGCTCGATGGGGGCCTTGCTTTTCAGGACCATTCCCTTCAGAACAACCAAATGCTTTCCACCTTGAAAATGTTCCTGCACCCCAAAGCTTGATTTCTATTGTCCATATATTTCCATTTAACATAAATGAGCGCACAAACTGTCAGCTGGCACGTCAACTGTGATCCAATTAAAATGATGTGTTGGTAGTGTAAGGCAAAGCAGCAGATTTGCAAGAATAGAACCTCCATGCAAGGGAAAAGAATGACTAGTCTCCAAAGCTCATAGAAATTAATTTACCTCTCAGTGAGCATTAATTATGACACTTCTGACCCTGCAATGCAGCATAATTAAGCCTATGCTAATCTTAATGATTTTCAAATATTATTTTATCAGTGTAAATTAGGGAACATCAGAAATCAGTAGGGTGAAAATATTTTAAATTAGAATCGTTAATGATTGTATTGAGAGTAGCTAAAAGCTTCTGTTTCTTATTTTTTTAATTGCACAAATTGGTTATGATCCAAACTTCCTCACTTAGTCAGTTTACAAAGCTGAGATTCTGCACCCGGAGCAATGGAGCCGTGTAAACCAAGCTAATAGAAATGCCTTGCCACCCTTTGAATCATCCAGAGAATACCTTTGGGGCACGTTGCATGCAGTGGTGAAACAAGTACTTTCTTTCCACAAAAGCTGCATGTTCCTGCTACAGAGAGAAAAAAAACAGGGATCTTATTTAGTTAGAATAACTGGGTAAAAATAGCTCCCAAAGGTAGATGTCTCCAGCAAATAATTCATTCAGCAAAGGCTGCGAATGACAGCTAGAAAAGGTGAATGGGCACAGGAACAAAAATAGGATTCAGTTGTGAAATTAGCGAATTCAATTCCAAAGTGCCTATTCGATTGTTACCCTTGTTTGGAAATATTGCTCGGTTTTAGTTGCTTAATTCTTCCTCGCGATCGTATACCTTTTATTCCAACTGATTCGTTGGTATGTGGCAGATAAAAAGGGCAAGGCCTGCAGCATTAGAATACAGCTTCTTCCCGACTTATGAACCGGTTATGGACTAAGCAATTGGCTGTAACTCTGTTCGTTCCAAGTCGGACCCCATTGAGTTCCACGGGACCGCGCTGTTCGTACGCGCGGATCGCGTTCGTAACTCGGGGTCCGCCATTTACAACAGCTTTGGTCGTAACTGCGAACGGTCGTAAGTCGACCGTTTGCAACTTGAGGACCGGCTGTAATAGTGTCAGGTGTGTTTCCATTCGTATCGTCGTGGGGCGTTACCTTCTTATGCTCCAAAGCAATGCTTTTGGAAGTGTATGCAGTTTGTGGCTTCTGATGGTTCCCCCAAAGCACAAACTCTGTGATCCTAGTGCAAGGAAGCGAGAGAAGACTGCGGGGTTCTAGGCTTGACTTGGCACCCTTGCACCCCGTTATCTTACAAAAGTCACGTAGGGTATGTCGGTATTAGGAAATGATTTTGAAATAAATAGATTTGAAATAATACCTCCCAAAATAACATCGAAATCGTGTGTCCCCCACTACAGGAGAAGCCTCTAAATTAGTCCAAGGCAGTGTCCGTTAATGTTGACGCGCTACCGCAACTTAGTGCCCCAGATAGCACTTCAACGTACTCTAGGGAGTCGTTATTTTGAAATAGCAGTAACTGAGCGTCCACACGGCCGCTATTTCAAAATAAGTGTTATTCCCCGAAGAAAGCAGGAGTACAGATATCGAAATAACCAGCCCATTATTTTGAAATAAAGGGCTTGGTAGGGTGGACGCTCTGCTTATTATTTTGAAATAAGGGGGTTATTTCGAAATAACTCCTGAGTGTAGACCAGGTCTTAATGAGACAAAAAAAATCAGATACTCACATACAAACTGGAAGTTAAATTCTACTACCCTTTTCTCTCTAATATCCTGGGGACCAGCATTTCTACAACAACACTGTAAGCAAGTCATTTGATGACACGATGCCTCAACTTATCCATCTGTAAAATGGGAGTGATAATTCCCCACTCCACAGGGTGGCTTTAAAAGGTTTTGAGATCTACCGATGGGAGGTGGAGAGAGAGCCACACATTGCTAACGTAAAAACGGCAATAACAGAACAGAATGGCTCTTATTACCCAGAATGACTCTAATTATGACTAATGGCAGATGTTTTCTGGCAATATCATTTTATTCTTTCCAGGGACAAAGAGGATTTCAGAGTTAATGGTGGGTTAAGTGCTCATGTGACATATATTATGAGCAGAAACCTGCACAACAAAAAGCCGCCTGTTGTACCAAAGCTTTTTTTAACTGGTCTGTTACTTCTAGCTGCTCTCCACTGCTGAGGTGTCTGTCTTCCAGGAAATAGGGTGTGGTTTGATGCATAGGAAATGTCTCCCTCTTAACAGACTTACTCTTTGATCAGATCAAGCTTTCTCTGGTTTTTTAGTGCTCTGGAAGTTTGGAATTTCTTTATATGAAGCCCATTTAAACTGCCGCACAGAATTTGTCTGTGTTTTGGTTTGGCACACTAAGTTATTACTCTGCAGCTCCGTTCCTTGAGGAGGAGGTTGAGCAGACACTGCTGCCTATCACGTTTGCTGCATCTCCCCTTTCCTGTATGTTCGGTTTCTTTTAACATGTGTGACTCAGCCGTAAGCTATTTCATTTCAGCTCGCATGTGTCTCCCCTGGAGCTCACGTCCTTCTGCTTTTGTTAGCCTTTCTAGCAGCATTTGCAGCCAACAGCCGCTGTGGATGGTTTACGGAAAGAATTCCTAATAGACATTTATCTTTAATTAATTAGGTGTTTCTAGGAGGAGCGTAACCAAGGATTTTCCCCTTTCTTTCGGTGTGCAGTGGTTTATTATCCCCAAACGCTGAGCTCTGCACAGCGCTCATTGTATTGCCATAGAGGAAGCCCCCCTCCGTGGCTCGCTGCCTGACAGAAAGGTGTCACCATCTCTGGCTGTGTCTCCACAGCGTGCGGGCTTGAGCCTTGCAGGGATCTGCAGGCTGGAGCTGTCGGGCTCGCACTAAAAACAGCGCCGGGACAGCTCTTGAAGCAGTTGGTCAGGTTCCGAAGCGCCCCCCCTTGCCTAGGCCTCGGAGCCGAGCCCGACGTCAAAGTGCAGTCGACACGTCTGCATTCAAAGCTCCGCCCCACGCGCCCATGTCCTGTGCTGGGAGACTCGTTCCTAAGTGCCACGTTGACGTGCTCCATTTGTGCCAGCTGGAGGGTCAGTTCTGCCCCCAGGGGAGTGTAGAACAGCAGGGTGAGTAACCTTTCAGGGGCTGGAGAACGTGGGCACATGGCAGATTGATTGGTGACCAGGGTGAGGGGAGAGGAGATACCTAGAAACCCTTAGGACAGCGTGGGTCGGCACCAGGCCCATTGAAAGAAGCAGGCTACTTCTCTCCTGTAATAAAGCCCGCAGCATGGCCGCACTGAGCTCAGGTCAGCTGACTCAAATAAAGGGGGCTTGGGCCTCTGGGCTAAAACTTGCAGGTGGATCTCAGTGCCCGGACACCAGCTGGAGCCCGCACATCTGTGCTGCAGTGTTTAGTCCTGCAGCGCGAGTCCAAATCACTTGCCCCAGCTTGGAGACTCAGGATGTGTCTAGACTGCATCCCTCTGTCGGCAGAGAGATGCAGATTAGGCAGGTCGACATTGCAAATGAAGCAGGGATTTAAATATCCTGTGCCTAATTTGCATAAAAATGGCCACCGGTTTTGCTGACTCAGCACATTGTCGGCAAAAAGCAGCAGTCTAGACGGGGATCTGTCAGAAAGAAAGCTTTTGTCGACAGATCCTGTAAATCTCCTTGCAGGAGGCATAAGGGATCTGATGAAAAAGCTTCCTTTCTTGACAGATCCCCGTCTAGACTGCCGCTTTTTGCCAACGACGTGCTGAGTCAGCAAAACCGGCGGCCATTTTTATGCAAATTAGGCACAGGATATTTAAATCCCTGCTTCATTTGCAATGTCGACCTGCCTAATCTGCATCTCTCTGCTGACAGAGGGATGCAGTCTAGACACACCCTCACTGTCGACATACCCGGTGTTTCCTGGTTTGGGCTGTGGACTTTGGGGGCCTTTTCCCCTTTCAGCCTGGTTTGTGTTTTGTCCCTAGGATATCCCCACCGGTGCTGACAGCTGCGTGACCAGCCTGTCGTGTGATTCTCACCGCTCGTTGATCGTGGCAGGGCTCGGCGATGGCTCCATCCGTGTCTATGACCGGAGGATGGCTCTGAGTGAATGGTAACGAACCGCAGCATTTCCTCAGCCCACGGCGGCTGGCAAAGGGTCTCCTCCCTGGAGCTGACTGGCCATTCAGTACCTAGAAACCTTCATTGGAAGAATGTGTCTGCGAGCTCTTTAGGCCTTCGTTAGGGCACCCGTGTGTCCAATCCCGCTGCTTAACACTGTCCCACCTCAGCAGCCTGGCGGATCAGTCATTTTCTCAGCTGACTCAGAGCTCTGTGCCACTTGCTGCCTAGCGGCAAGGATCATGACCTGCCTCTTTAGCCCCCCAGTTTTGCTATCAAAGCCCAGAGGTGTGAGAAGGAAGGGCCCTTTTCTTTACCTCGATGATTTCAAGCAGCAGCTGCAGCTTTCTGTGCGATTTCCTCGGTCTTCTTTCCCAAAAGTTTCCCCTTTCTCTGCTTGCTCCTCAGCCGTGTCATGACCTACCGGGAGCACACCGCCTGGGTCGTGAAGGCGTATTTGCAGAAACATCCTGAGGGCAACATCATGAGTGTCAGGTAAAAAAGAGACATTTTCCTCCACGTTTAAAATGGGTCCCGGTATGTCTACCCCAGGGGTGGAAAGCTCGGCTCTTTGGCATTTTGGCTCAGCCATTAACTTCTGTTCCAAAACTTGGCGGGAGGGAGAAGAAAAGAAAGCCGTACCCTACCTGGAAGAGC